TGAAGATAAATTAGTGGTACAGCAAGCCGATTGCCAACCACCACAGCCCCACCTATAACACTGCTGAGCTGCCCCAGTGCATGAGCAAACTGGTATAGGAAATACCGAAATATCCATAGTAATACCGTTAATGACGACTTCTGCACTTTTTCTGGGAGCTCTAGCCCGTGGAACAGATGGGGTAGCCTCGACTTTAGGGACCCTAGTAGCTTTCTTTGCCTTCTTACTTTTAGGGGACTTCAGCAGTTGTGATTTACCAGCTCCCCTCTTCTTTGCAAGCCCACCAATATCCCTTTCTTGACAAACCTCTTCCAGCTGAGGATCAGGTTCAACTTTTACCAAGTTTGGCTGCTCGTGAATCTGCATGGACTGAGCAGAAGACGTCTCAGGCAAAAAACCATAACCCGTAAGATAGTGGTGGTTTCCGGATAGCACATTGAGATACTTGTCTCTATAGTCTTTATGATTAACCCAAGAATCCCTCATATACTCAATGGGCATGGGGGTCTCCGAGATCCCACAAACCCGATGGTGATGAAACGCACCACCATTAGTCGACTCCATAACCGTAGGATGGTGAGGCTGGTGGGTTTGGTGGTTGTGGTGATGGTGATGGTGATGGTGATGGTCGTGAATGTTGCCAAAAAGGGGCTTCTCATCCATAGAGGACATGAGTTGCAGGCCCAAATGGCCCTTCAAGACTGTTGCAGGTGGCTCGAAAAAACCCCAATTTCGTATATTCATACCGTTTCCATCCATGGCTGCATGAAACCAATATCAAGAGGGCTTGAACTTTCAACAAAGATCGTATTTGACAAACTCCAGCAGTAAATATTGCTTATATCAGTAAAAAAATCAATGCCACAGCATGTAAGCATCATCCTTTTCAACCCTACAAAAAACCACAAAGGATATAATTCACCAAATCAAACCGTAAAAACCACAAGTAACAAAACTACAAACATCATGCTGAATTAAAAAAAATACAATACGTTCAATCAATAGCCACAAGGCACATAAACATGCATAAATATTAACCAAATCAAACCTTAGAAAAATAACACAAGCAATAATACCACAAATGCAGAGCGGAATTGAAAATGAGTCAATACATTCAATCAATTGCCACAAAATGCACAGAGACACATAATGCTGACAGCAAAACTTTAAGATTTATGTAAAATCAGTAATGTTTAAGCTTACTGATTTAGATCTTGGCATAAATAGAGAATGTAATAGCTCAAATATAGAAATGCGGAGTGAAATAAGTTAAATCCGTAAATGTACTCAGAAAAGGAGAGAGTACTGACTGGAGGGAAGAGTCGGCTGGTTAGGGTTTGAGACTGTAATCCCCTCTATTCGAAGGGACTCCCTTATTTACCTCTAAAGAATAGAAAATATGATTCGGTATGAATTAATAATTGCAGAAAAATAAAAGAAGGTTAAATGAAATAACACTACAAAGAATTTTTTTTAAAAATAATAATAATAATAATAACAACAATAATATCCCACGTGGAAAATAGGAATGAAGTAGAGATTTGGTTTTGGTAGAATTAAGGGGTGTGATTAATATTTTTTATAGAAAATAGAAATTATTNCCCCCCCAAATTACATCCCTATGGTGATTCAAGGTCCAGAATTACTTGTTCTTTCAAGGTCTAATGTCCTTTTTATTTGTGGTATGGAATAATAAGTAATTTATATATTATTACTGCCATCAGTTCAACAACAACAACAATAAATCCAGTATAGTTTCACAAATAGGGTCTGGGGATGATAGATAGTACACAGATCTTATCCCTACAGTGAATGTAGAAAGGTTGTTTCCAGTAGATCCTCGGCACGAGGAAAAATGAGAAAAGAGCAGTAGCAACAAGCAATAATGAGAACAAGATAAAAGAAAACAAAGCGAATGGAACAACATGAAGATAGAAATCTAAAATATTAGAATACAAGACTGTCACTAATAACAATGGAAATGTCCGAAAACCCGCTTAATTACCTATTAACCTACAACATTAATGTTCAACCTCCATACCTTCCTATTAAGGGTTATGTCCTCGGCCAGCTGAAGCAAAGTCATATCTTGTATAATCACCTTTCCCCAATACTTTTTTGGCCTACCACTACCTCTTCTAAGACCCACTAAGGACAACCTCTCACACCTCCTTATCGGGACATCTGTGCTTCTCCTCTTCACATGCCCAAATCATCTAAGTCTCACTTCCTGCATTTTATCCTCTATGGAGGTCACTCCTACCTTGGCCCGAATATCCTCATTCTTAATCTTATTAATCCCGGTATGCCCGCACATCCATCTCAACATCCTCATTTCTGTTACTTTTATTTTCTAGACATAAGAATTCTTGACTAGCCAATACTTTGCGCCATACAACATAGTCGATCTAACTACTACTTTTTAGAAATTACCTTTAAGTTTAGGAGGTACATTCTTATCGCATAAGATACCTGATGCGAGCCTCCATTTTACCCACCCCATACCAATATGATGTGTAACATCCTCGTCAATCTCTACATTACCTTGTATTATAGGCACTGGGTACTTGAAACTATCTTTCTTGGGGAAGAGTTGTGTATTAAGCCTCACATCCACATCCGCTTTACTGGTCCCGTCAATGAAGTTACACTCCAAATATTTTGTCTTGGTCCTACTCAACTTGAAACCTTTAGACTCTAGGGTCTGTCTCCAAACTTCCAGTCTCGTGTTAACACCACTTCTCATCTCGTCAATCAGTACAATATCGTTTGCTAATAACATACACCAGGGTGCCTCCCCTTGAATGTGATGCGTCAGTGTATCCAATGCCAAAGCAAATAAAAATGGCTAAGAGCTGACCCCTGGTGCAACTACATCACAACTGAAAAGTGGTATGAGTCCCCTCCCACTGTCCTCACCCGAGTTTTAGTTCCTTCATACATGTCCTTAATCACCCTAGTATACGCTACTTGAATACCTCTAGCCTCCAAACATCTCCATAGAACCTCCCTTGGGACTTTGTCATATGTTTTCTCTAGATCAATGAACATGTGCAAGTCCCCCTTCCTCTCCATATATTGTTCTACCAACCTCCTTACAAGATAAACGACTTCCCTAGTCGAACGACCCTGCATTAATCCAAACTGGTTTTCGAAAATAGACACACCCTTTCTCGCCCTTGCTTCCATCACCCTCTCCCAAACTTTCATAGTGTGACTCAGCAGCTTGATACCCCTATAGTTGTTGCAACTTTGAACATCACCTTTGTTCTTGTATAACGGAATCATCGTACTCCACCTTCATTCTTCGGGCATCTTCGTCGTCCTAAAATGATGTTAAACAACCCAGTGAGCCATTCCAAGCCTGCCCTTCTCACACTCTTCCAAAATTCCACTGAAATTTTGTCTGGCCCGGTCGTTCTCCCCTACTCATCTTATGAATAGTCCCCTCGACCTCCTCAATTTTAATACACCTACAATAACCAAAATCTCAACAACTCTCGGAGTGCTCCAAATCACCCAAAACGATGTCCTTGTCTCCCTCTTTATTTAGGAGTTTATGGAAGTAAGTATGCCACATGTGCCTGATATGTGCCTCTTCCATCAATACTCTCATCTTCGTCTTTAATAGCCTTCCTTTCTCTCACCTTGGCTAGCCTGTATAGCTTCTTGTCCCCGCTTCTGTCCCTAAGTTCCTCATACAAACGTCCAAATGCTGCAGGCTTAGCTGCTGTAACCGCTAACTTGCCTCCTTCTTGGTCTTCTTGTACCACTCTTTATTTGTCCTCTTCTCCTCCTCATCCTTGCTCTTCATCAGCTTCGGATATGCCGTTTTCTTAACTTCTACTCTTTCTTGGACCTCTTTATTCCACCATCAGTCCCCCTTGTGCCCATCAGAGTAACCCTTCGAGATCCCTAGCACCTCTCTAGCCGCTTCCCTGATACAATTCGTTGTTGAGGTCCACATACTAATCATGTCCCCTCTACTCCTCCAGGTCCTTATAGGCACCAACTTCTCCTCTAACTCTCGAGCTTTGTCCTTGGTCAAAATTCCCCACTTGATCTTAGGTTGATCATACACAGCTATTTCTTTCTCTTCCTCATGATTTCTAAGTCCATCACCAAGAACCTATGCTGGGTCGAGAGATTCTCACTCGGAATAACCTTGCAATCCGAGCAAAGACTTCTATCACACTTCCTAAGGAGCACGTAATCAATCTGTGTCTTGGCCACCGCACTCTCGAAGGTGACCAAGTGTTCTTCTCTCTTCTTAAAACTGTCATCCGTTTATTGTGAGTTAAAGTTCGACATTTGGACTGTTTAATCCACAAACATTAAGTAACCTCTTTTCTCAATCTTAAATGTCAGGTTTTGATTATTATCCTAAGAACAAAAAAGAGGTATAACGTTCAATATTTTAATACTGCGTCAACCCCACCTTTAATTGGTCTAAATTGATTTCAATGGTTAAGTTGTACAATCACCATCAGACAGATCTAATTTTCAGCTCCGCTTAACTATAAATTAAAAACATTCATTTGATAGCTAAACATTATGTTTTAACCTCCATATCGAACTTACTGCACTTAATGAATTTTTAAGTTACTTGATAAGATTGTATCGAGTCCCCTAAATATAAAGAAAAAATGTCATTGTATAGCCGCTCTCAAAATAAATTCTACTAGATTGGTGAATGGCCTAATCATAACTAGGTCCATCACTTGAAGAAACGGAGAATATATTCCATCAAAATGAGATGCTCCACCACTCCCAGGGGAACACTAAAAAAGGAAACCCAAGACCTACTACAAAATGATATTATATACAAATAGCCTTCCGACACCTTCAATGACAGATGACTAACACAGTAGTTCAAATTACACTCCAACTTGTTTCTGGACTTCTAGACAAGTTGATAAAAACTTTCGACTCCACCAGATTATAATGCTGCACGAAGATGAAATTCGACAAGAGCAGAGACAAAAGGGAAGGGTAGCATACAAGCATAACGGGACAATCCAAATAAGTTGTAAAGGGATATACAGATCCCAAGGTAGCAGGAATCCATGGTGCTGAACTGAAAAGTTCATTGTTAAAATGAAGATTACAACCACGTGCACCGATTTGAGTTATGGCATTCCTCACTGAGAACACTGTATACAAAGGACTGTAACATACATTTTCTACACTCTCTCGGCTTTATGCAGCACTGCATAAGCGGAAAGCTAATTCGTCAAGGTCTATGAGCAAAAAATTGTTGGATTAGTTTCTTCCTCGAGAAAAAGAAAAACCAATTCCTGCAGGAAGTAATAGGTATGGCCAATTAAATGTGCTTATGCTGTATTATACTTCTCCTTTATAGCTAAAGCAGCAGCTCTGTACCACGCAGCTGCAGCCATGGCACCAGGGTCAGGAATTGAAGCAAGAACATCTCCAGGTATGTAGGTTGAACGGCCAGCCTAGAAAACCAACTGATTAGGACCCTCACTGAACTAAGAAATTGACAGCCAAGTTACAGAAGTAAGACAGAACATGACAAATAGACAATCTTTTCTGTTATCAGTTTCCTCTTTCCTCTAAAATTTCAACGACCATTATCTCCATTCAGAGGAAGACAGGTAAAGAAAATTAATAATCAAAATTTTCGGTTAAGGATTCCAATAAAATAACGTTCTTTGAAACTTTCCTGACACAGCCTAGTCCAGATCTCCATCAAAATCTTCAATCTATTTGACATTAGATATGTTAGAAGTCTGGTAGTAATCAAAATATCTTTCAAGAAAGCACCGAATCATATGAATTTTCACCCATAAGAACAAAGACTTCAAACTTTAGTTCTGAATACCTAAAACAGTAAATGGCATCTCGAACTTACTTTAAACCCTCTAGAGGTATCATTTGAAAGCCCTTTGGACAAGTCATATTCTAAGAGTTTGAGTTTATCAGCCAAAGCAGGTTTTAATATGGAAATATAGAAAATGACTAAATTTCTTTATGTATCTGGAATTAGAAATCGAAGTAAACTTTAAATATCTTCGTAATATCTTCGATTATGTCAGACCTATAAAGCCAAATTAAGTTTTTGAATAGATACGTTAATCATTTCCTCAAGTCTAATTCCATGTGGATTTGAGCCAATGGGAAAAGGATATTAACACATTTTCGTAGGGATGTGAAGGTGCTTAAGGTGTATAGTCTTTAAAGAAGAAAAACGTGTATAAAGAACTTTACAGTCACTCCATTTCTAAAATATGTTTAAGCTTCACATATTTTTGTGCTGTTGTGTAAAAAAAATTACCTTTTTAGCACTAACCACCATCACTGTGTAAAATGTTTGGGAAATTAAACTGCTGAAACACCGTGTATGCTATTTTCTTTCAACATATTAGAAGTAAATACAGTGATAATACCTGCGCTTGCATGTTCTTGGTTGACTCGGCTCCAGCGACTGCTGCCTCAGCAGAAATAACGAAAGCATCCACAGGGTTGTCCCCAGCACTCAACCTCTGTTCCCAATGCATAAAAATCTCTATGAATAAGGTTTGCAGGAAAAAACTGTAAACGATGTATCATCGAAGATATTATATTGACCTCTTTAAGAGCTGACAATGCTGGAATAAGAGCATCTAAAAGTGTGCGATAACCAGCACGAGCTCCTCCATATTTACTAACAGCAGCGATAGCAGCTTCAAGTGCATCAGCCCCTGAAAAAAAAAGAGCTGTTTGGTACAGAAAGAAAGAGTTGAAGCAACAAACATCAAGTCTTTACTGTCTAGGAGTCAACTAACAGTGCAGAGCTGTGACAACCAACTCGGAATCTGCTTTCAACTTTGCATATGCTGCCTTACAGAATATATCATATCTGTTATAAAGATAGATCTTTAGTGACACTGGTAATATAAAAGAAAAACTTGGTTGAAAGAAAAAAGAGTATGGTTATCAAGAGAAAATGCATTACAAGATACCGCTTGTTCCCCCCATTACTCTTCTAATAGAAGATCCAATTTCATTGACTGTTTCTGCAGGGTCATTCAACGGATAGCTGCGCAAAAAATAGTTCAGAAAGGACAAGAGTAAAATCTTCTATACACCTCAATTACAGAGTTGTTATGCAACTATCTCAAATTTGAACAGCAGACTTGCTAAAACCAATTGGAAGGTCTTTTATCACCTTTTACAGTGAAAAGAGAGGGCAATGACCCTATAAGACACAAAGATAATATAGAAGGTAATAACATAGAAGAAAAGATAAAAATAAAAATAGCCAAAGGAAAAGCACGCAAAAGCAGCTAATTTGTCATATCATATCAAAACAATTGACTATTAAGCAAATTGAACAGAACTTCAGAGCATATCAAGCTGTCTCTCACAAATGTGTTTTAGCTCATACAGAAATTTCTACCTCCCTGTTTCAAAAATAAAATCTATTTATACCCAACGATTAACTATAAGGATATCCTAAGAGCAGCAAAACTAAGCTTCTAAAAATGCTGCAAGTAGATATGTGCAAGCTGAACAGTCTGATAACCACCCACAGCAGGTGCAAGCAGGAAAATATGGAAAAACAATTGGATAAAATCTGTCTGTACACTGAACAATTTTAAAAGTAACTAAACTTTGCTTTTAAGCATTCTTTCAAGAGATTTTAAAAACACAGAAAAAGGGGGAGGCAGATGCCTTGCTTTTTTACTCAAGGAGTGAGGATATGTGGCAATAATCTCGGGAAGAAGAATCTGCCCCCCTTTCTACTTTCTTGGAGATACTACACGAGGAAATAATCTAGGGAAGAAGACTCACTACTTCTTCATGTCTTCAAGTATAGTCACTGCACCTCTGAACATCTGCAGTTTCACAACGAAGGAGCTTATTAAATGCAGATAACCGTGAAACAAATAGAGGGAAACAAATATGCTATCCAAAAACCTACAGTTGAACCACAATCACCATCACCAACTTTGCTATCCCACTCATTCAAATTATCCCTGAGATTTACAACTTCAGTTGCTGCAGCTTCAATAGCTGCCTCAAGAATATGACCCAGAGAGCTCAGTTTTTCAGGCCGACTCAATGTCTGATAAAAGAAGAAACAGACAGCAAGTAAGAATAATTTTATGAATATGTAAAACAGTTAAATAGTACTTTAAAAGTAACAGTTAGAAGGGTTGGAATTATAGCGTCATTTATAAACAGTATTGATCTGCAACAGTACATAAAATATGCAATGCTGTCTCTCCCATCCTCAAAATCTGTAGAAGATTTGCAAGTGGGAGTTACACTTGACATTTGGGACAGGGACTGTTCAATCGCATACTTACTATCAGTGACATTAGGCCCTTATTTGGAGGTATGTGCTTAGATCAGTGCCTTCAAAGCAAATAATATGTAGATATAAAGTACATATAATATAAGAAATGCAACTACCTTCCATAAATTTGGCATACCTTGTCACTCTGGATCGAATGTGGTGGAGGAAGCGGAACAGGTATCTTTGCAGGAGGTCGGTTACCTGGAAAACAAAAATTAACTTCCAGTAAGTAAAGTAGATTTATTAGCTTAGACAGGTAAATTCTACAAAAGGTGCAGGCATTATAAGGTAGTTAGATCACCCACAGATACAAGAGGATACTAGCGAAAAATCCAATATGAATTTTTCTCTGTTACTCTAGTTCTTTTTCCAAGAGAAATACAAGTGAGGGAGTATTCAACCAGGGAACACCAGGTTCATTCTTTCCTTGTATAGAGATAAAAATACTGTAAAGGGAAACCACAAGCCACCCATACATAGTGAAGAGCAATAATAGACATATAGAAACTGACCATCAGCACCAACAGGCCAATTTGGAGCTTTAGTGGGAGCATCTAAACGGTCTAAAATTGCTTGATCAGCTTTCATTACAGAAATTGAAAATCCTGCATATAACTGAAGTAAGAACATGAATGTTGTTCGGCAAATAAAAGGGACTTATAAACCTGACATACCTGCCATATCAAGTGAAGTCATAAGTGATCCTGTATAGACTCTATCAACAGCTAGACCATGTTCAAGCTGCAATCCTGGGACAGCCTTGCCAGCTATAATCATCAATTCCATCAATGGTGTTGCTCCTAATCTGCAGTAGATAAGTGTGTAAAAAAACAAAAATGAGAAACTCGAAGTTTCTTGCCTTCTATAATAAGTAATTCCAAGAGAAGGTGATTAAATATTTAGAAAAATGGATTAGATGACACAGTGATAGTCGTCAACATCCTTTTCCCAAAACATATATGAAAACCCATCATTTAATCAATGAGTACAGTGAATTCTCCCAAATAAAAAAGAACTGAAATAAGTCAATCTATAAAAGCTTCAAGCACAAAGCCTAGCTCCAGTACTGTTTTTAAATTGGTTATCATCCAATGCAAAGATCAAGTCTCCATGAATGCAACGAAATCCATTTGAACATTTTCAGCTTTATGAAACTTTTCAGATTCAAACATATTTCTGCTTGCATTGATTTGAAAAATAAGTCAAGCAATAAATGAACCCGATCAACCAAGAGACTAATATAAAGCTTGTGAAGCATAGTTCATTATTTCAAGAGACATTTGGACGATAATGGCAGAGCAGAGGAAGTAATGGCCAGAGAGACTAATACAAAGCTTGTGAAGCATAGTTCATTATTTCGAGAGACATTTGGATGATAATGGCAGAGCAGAGGAAGTAATGGCCAGAGTACATGAACATCCTGTAGTGTAATTCACGAACACCAAATGGTCATAGCAAGGCAATGATGGTCAACAATTCAGAGTTTCCAGTACCTTCCAACGCTTTCCAAGAATTGTTGGATTGATATAGATCCAAATCGAACTCAGTGAAACTAGACAAAGAAAGACCTTAATCAACCCTCATTTCATTCCAATAATTCCGGGAACAATTAACTAGAATTCGCTGAGGAACGATAGTATGTCGATAACATGTTACACCTCTCTCAGCCTTTGGACTAAAATCAAGTAAAATACCTGCTCTGATTGTCATAATAAACATGTTTAACAGTACGAATCGAGCAAAATAGTGATATAAGATACAAAGATGCCAGTTTCATGCAACTTGAATAAATGTTTCTATGTAAACTTTCACAAAAAAGATATTTAACAAAAATATTTAACAAAACAGTTTTGAAACATTAATTTAATATTACATTGTTATTAGCTCAAGTTTCTCCGTCTTCTCAAAGACCTAGACAGTAAGGCTGGAATTTTGGCTTAAATGTGAGGTAAAGTATTTTGTCTATGATATTAAGGTACTATCATTGCTAGAAAACCTGCTGCTTTTATCACGAAAAGAATTAAACAGAAAGTTTAAGCAAAAATCTTGAAACTTGCCAGCATTTCTAGATAACTGTAGCAGATTAAAGAATACACTTCAAAAAGGTATAGCATAAATGACTGATTTAAAAAAGAAGATATATTGTAAAATGATTTCATTTCTCAATTTCATGAGGTTAACTGAGTATTCCAAAAATACCAAATGGAGCATTTAAGGGGAAAATATAGAAACACAAGGGACAGAATACATGGAAATAATGAAGTTCCTGCAACAATCCCTGAATAAGCATGCTACCATAATATACTTCTAAACACTATAGCACCAAGTCTGCCTCGTCAGCCAAAAATGTTAAGAGACGGAAAGGATGAGCAGGGAAAAACAAAACAGAAACAGAAAGGAATAACTAACCAGCTCCAAATACTTGGAGGATGGTGTTGACAGAGGCATGAATAGACAGGAATAAGGCTCAAACTTACCCATTAATGAGGAGCACAACTCTACTCCCACGTGTAATTGGAACGTAGTTGGTCTCCTACAAAGAGATTCAGTAACAGTGAAACTTCCTTCTGCAGAATAAGTGTCATTAACTAAGCTAAATGACACCAGGTTGTTAGGAGGAAGGGGGTGCATTTAAGAAATTGCCATGTAATATCCCCCCACTACCTCCACTGAAAGAATGCAAACATGAAAAAAGATAGACTGATCGCATAAAAACTCCCGAACTAAAACTGGTGTTCTTTTTTCTTTGTTCCTTCCTTTCACTACTTCTTTTGATTGGATTCTTTTTATTTTTCACTAATAATCGATCTAACTGCAGAATGATTCTTTTTAATGTGTTTCAGATAACAATATAACTTCAAACATTGTTTCTACTTCCGTCTTCATTATTACAAGAATCTTCATCATTTAATCAAAATTTTATCCAACCTAACTTATTTCAAGAAAATGTAAGGAAAAACATATTACGAACCTTCATCATTTAATCCATGGGGTTTTATAGTGTACATTAATGTGCAAAGATCATAACCCTACATGGTTGTAGCTTTTTAGACTCACTTTTAGAGTTTGTCTTAGCACAAAAATTTATCTCATCAAAAGTAAAACTGATTTCACTTCATCCTTTCTAGTCCAGGGTGATGATTTAAGCAATCAGAACACTTTTACTGCATCAAGTACTAATGTATATCAAGTCAAAATTTCACACTCATCACATACCGATGACAAAATCTCCTTCAAAACATGTGAAACCACCACATCTACTGGTTGTAGGTCAGCTACAGCAGCTCCTGGTTCCCCGTGCTGGAAAAAAGAGAAAACAGTGCACACAATTTGATAATGCAGAAGTAAAGATCACCGAATTCTAAGTAGTCTGTCAGCACTTAACCACTCCCGCACAAAAGATCTTGGAAGCTTCAAACGTAGCACAGAGGTTGCAACTTTTGACACACATTTCAAAAGACCCAACTGCTCTTACCATTGAAAAAAGGAACACCGAATAACCAAGTGTTATAAACAGAAAAGATATGAACGACATGCATGGCACCCAAGGTAACTCACATGATTATCACGTCTCCCCGAAACATCAATGTAACATCAAATGTTTCATTTAGTAAAGCATGATTTAGTCAACTTCTTCCCATTCCTAATATATTGATGAATACACCTGTGCCTATGAAGAGAACTTACTATTCCAAGACCAAGCTCCATCTTTCCTGGGCCTAAACGGTCTGACGTCACCTGTCCTGGCAATGTGCAAACAGATAATGCAACACCCATTGTCCCAACCATTTCTGATGCACGTTTTGCTTCAGCTGCAACGTCAGCAAGAGGAAGACCACAAGCTGCTGCAGCTCCAGCAACCTGAGATTAAGTGAAACTTAGAAAAGATCAGCGGAAAAGCAACTGAAACCAATTACATTTGCATTGACTTGACCAAACTTCGATACTGCGAGACGTGTAGGTAAAATGATTGCTGCCCACAAATAAGCCACTCTCACATGAAATTGAATTCAACAAAGAAATAGAAAAGATCAGTTTGGTTTTTTTCTTAATATGTAGAGTTATGAAAGAAGCACAAAAACAATTCATATACCCTCTATAACAAAGCATTGAAGAAGCAACTTGTCAAAAGACCATGACAATTTGGCAAATGAAAATTTGGTGATCTCTAGATTATTTTGGTAATAGGCCCCCAACAACACCACCCCCCACCACCAAAAAAAACCCCAAAGCACACACATAGATACACCCAAAAGAGAAAAAAAGAGAAATGCGCAAAAACATAGGATGATAGACATACACCTAGAATCACCTTAGTAAGAAATTTTCGTTGCTGTATCTTCTTTTTTACCAAATCAAGTTGGCATCATGTTTCGCTAATCCAAGGCCACCATGGATGGAAATTTGCAAGTAGGTGTGAAGATTAGTCTCTGGAAATTCTAATACATGAGCAAATATATGTATACGTTATTTTAGTTTTTAATAGGCTCTTTTAGCTTTTAGGAGTTGGAGGTCTTAGTAAAGCTCTATCTCTCTCAAATGTTTTTTATCAATAACTATCTGTCTTAAATAGAATACCAAGAAAGAAAATGGAGATGGAAAAGGAAAGTAACAAATTTTGAATCACCAAGAGGTAAACTATGTCCTAATTAATCTCTTTTTAAAGGGGAGACACACACAAAAGAAGAACTCCAGTATATTTTATAGGTGGTATAATTAGGAGAAGTTTGATTTGAACTGAGGAATATCGTAACAGCTTCAATCAGTCGATAACTTAAGTCAAATATCTTAGCCCCAGTGGCAAAGCCAGAAAATTCAATAAGGGTGTTCAACCTTTGCCAGTGGGCTATGCAAGGGTGTTCAAAATCTATTTTTAATCAATAACAAGTAATATTTTACCTTATATGTAGTATAATTTTTCGGCGAAGGGTGGTCAGTTGACCACCCTTGGGCCAACATAGCTTCGCCCCTGCTGAGCCCTCTAAAATGAAATCTAAAAGACATGCACAAAGATAGAAATTGTGAACCTTGTGAACAAGAATCGTCCCTGCCAAACCTCTTCGACNATACACATGTGAAATCAGTGTGAACCCCATCTTCCAGTTTTTGACTGATTAATTAGCTACTCCAATCATCATCATCATCAAAAATAATATTAATAATAATATAACAACAATATCAAGAAAACAATTCTAGAAACTAATATCACAATGATACCTCTACTTTGTAACCTTCAGATTTAGCTTGTTCAGCAGCCAAACCAAAATTCAATCGATCACCAGTATAGTTCTGTAAGGGACCATAATACATTCTAATCATCAGATCACTTCATTATGACAAAAAGTGAAGAATGCAATAGTGATCCACGACAAATTTCTCATCACAGTAAACATTCCAGTTTAACCAAAAGTAGGATGATGATTGGTGATCTGTTACGTGAATTATTCACACAATTTAAACTTAAAAGCCAGTGTTAGACAACAAGAGAGTAATTAATTAACAACTAGGATTCGTGCTACCTTGACAATCAGAAGGCACCCCATGGGACCTGTGACAGCTCGTATGCCCTACATTGAATCAGGTTAGTTGGTAGACATCATCAAGGAAGAACATATGTAGACCATGTGCTAATCAAGGGGTAATATTATATCATACAGCAACGATTGAGTCAACATTTGGAGAGGTAAAAACGTCCCCACAGATAGCTGCAGTCAGCATCCCTTCTCCAACAAATCCAGCATGGGCAGGTTCATGGCCACTTCCACCACCTAATTATAGAAGTACCAAGGTACCTGATTAAACTGCACTTCGCCATACTGAAGTTCCAACAATACATCCCAAGTTTGAGTTTGAGATTCTTAAGAACACTATTTAGTCATTAATATTCCTATATATTAGTAGTAAATGACGGCTATAGGCAAGGCTGTGATGTACATCTGGGTTTGCAGAAGTTAAAGAAGATGCAAAGATGGGATGTAGTTCCTTTGACTATTATGTGGGTAATCTGAAGAGAAAGGAAAGAGAGCCTTGAAGGTGTGGAAAATAATTTGTGCAGATGAGGGCATGTCTATTGTTTCTAGTAAAACTTTGGTGCATCCATGAGGTTTCTGTTAGTATATGTTTGGGTGTTATTTGTAAAGAACCATGTTTTTTATAGGTTCTATACTTTTGCATGCCACTTTTATCCAGGAATTTTCAACCACATTGATAAAATTGTTACTCTATCAAATAAAAATGATTATAAGAATCTCATAAACAACTGCTATTTTCTTTCAAAAGAGGCGAGCACGCAATGCATAAGAGACCTGTAGTATAACTCATTATAAGAAGCTTTATAATTTCATAATTATACAAATTAGATTAGTTTGTCAAGCTTCATCTATTTCCAACTCGTGTATGGAGCTCTGAATGCAAAAATACCAAATGCTACTAATAAAAAGCAAGTTCCAGTATTGAAATAGAGACATAAGCATAGCTCAAATTCAATACCTGATATGACCGCAACTTTGTCATATTTTTCCCCAAAAACATCAGCACGCAAGACAACCTTAACCTGGATTTCGGAACAGAAGATAAACATGTTAGACCAACTTGGAACACTTATTATCTTAGTATTGCAACAAGTAAACAAAAAGAGTGAACAAAGTAACAAAAGCCAGATCACCTCAGGAAAACCATCCAGATATTGCAACCCGGGATAGGTCTCAATAAGTCCCTCAATGAACTCTGTCACAACATCTGCAAATCATTTCACTTCAGTATCTACAGAAAATAAACACTTAGGCTTTTCGTACACAAGAGTGGGTTACTCTAGTGGTGAGCACCCTCCACTTCCAACCAAGAGGTTGTGAGTTCGAGTCACCCCAAGAGCAAGTTGGGGAGTTCTTGGAGGGAGGGAGCCGAGGGTCTATCGGAAACAGCCTCTCTACCCCAAGGTAGGGTTAAGGTCTGCGTACAAACTACCCTCCCCAGACCCCACTAGTGGGATTATACTGGGTTGTTGTTGTTGTTGTTGTTGTATATATGACCTATAACACCTATAATAATCTTCACCAGAACCATATAGCATTTAATTAGGCCAATACAGATCATACACATAACAGTACCTACACACATACTGAAACAGAATAGGATATCACTCTTCAAAATTGGTTGTCATCAGCTATATGAACCTTATACATGCATTCTGCACTATTCAGGTCCGTTTCAATACAATACTATTTATTTGTCTTTAATGTAAATTAAGCACAACAACAGGTAGCCCAGCTAAAATATACTAGGGGAAAACGAAACACTAATTCTATGATAACTATTGGAAATTAGTAATTCTATGAATACCTACAAGTGTCTTATTACTATACTCAGTTGCTTTCATTTCCAAGCAGACAAAACACTAATCTCATCTTTCTCTTTTCTACTTCCATACTAAAAGATACTACATACACAAAACAATTAAAAGAAGAAATAAAAATCTCTTTCTCAATTTCCCCCCTAAATTATACTACTCTACTCCCGTTTGATTGACCACCAAACATGTCAAGCAATGCATATAGACAATATCAAGATACAAAATGCTATCTATTTGATACAGTAATGTTTGGGGGTTTCAGAAGCGGAGTTACCATTGGGGTCGTTGATGAGTTTCTTGCTCTGGAAAGCCATCGAATGTATGTGTGTGAAAATCAAAAAGGAGCAAAGAATCGAGTCACTGACGATAGTACTGCATTTACAGAAAGACGATAGAAGTTAGAAAACCCGAAGGAGAAACCTGAGAGGGCTTTTGTAGGTGGAGAGAGGAGAGTATGAGTTGAATTGTTGAATGATTTGTCCGAACCAAAAACAAAAAGAGGGAGATAAAAAAATGTTACGGCTTATTCTTCTTTGTATACAGAAAAAATTTATTTAATATTATCCAATCTACACGAAACTTATTTAATACTAGTTAATTGGACCGTGCTTCAACCAATCAAACATTTTTATTTTATAAATTTAGTAATTAATGTTATAATATCATAATAAAAAAAGTATATGATGTAACTCATACAGAATTATCGACAGTACCAATGCAAGTAAATCGAAAAAAATAATCTAGAAGTTAGAAATCAAATGTTTAAGCAAAGAAATTATATACATATGCGAAAAAATAACTATTGCCTCTCGATAAACAATCCTTTTAATTAGAAATGCTCGTCATATAGTGATTATAATTACAAATAAACATTATTCATAATTAGAGACTTTGTATTCTTAGTTAAATGTCGTTCGCAAATAATGTCATATTATTACTATTACTAACATTTATGAGTAAGGAAAAAGGAATTTGTGAAAATTATTTACACACCCGAACATTGCTTAAAAAATCAAACTCTCCCTCAACTTTGAAAAATAGATATTCGCCCTCTCATATCTCAAAGCATATTTTACCCTCTATTATCAACAGTTTTGTCTTGTTTTTATTTTTTAAAATTTGTATCATAGTTATCTATAAAATAAATAAATTTAATATATAAAATAAAAAAAATTAATATATTAATCAAGCATATAAGTTAATAACATTGAATAATCAAAGAAATGACCAAGCAGAATAAAAAATTAAACAAAAAAAATAATTTGTTGGTATAAATAATTTTATTAATAACAGTTAAAACTTAATAATTTATATAGATAATTGATAATAAAAGAGGGAGAAGAAAGAAACAGAAATTGTTTCTTTTAAGAGAGATGTTACATCACCTTGTGGTCCATCATATATATTTTTAACCATCTACTAATTTCTAGTGATTTTCCGTACATCCTTATCATATTTCAATAACACATAGTAACATCTTTTTAAGTTTTCTAAATTGCAATAAAAAAAAAATGAATCATTTTCTAACTCTATCCTATTCTCTCACATATACTATTTCTTTATTTATTTATTTATTTTTGCAGCATGATAGAAATATTCACCTTTTTTTTTGCGAAAAATTACCAAAATAAAAACTACCAAATACCCAACAATCATTAAAACCGAAAATAGTAAGATAATTGTGCCTTTAGATGGAAGAACCGATCTTGTAAATCGACAAAATTATGGGTAAGAAAGTTTTTAACTTTCTAATCATTCGTATGACAAAACAACACATATTATTGCGTTTGTTTATGCATTTATCGGTACTCCTACATTTTGTGAGGGAATTCATTAATGATTACCCGTATCATTGACAGATACTTAGTACTTTCCACCAAAAAAATATCTTAATGTAACAATTTAAAGGAAAAAAGAAAAAGCGGAGACAATATACAAGTATAAATTTTTATATTTAAAGAAGAAAAATATAAAAGAAAAAACTTTTTATATAGGTAAAATAAAGGCATTAACATTAGATTCTACACTTAGTTATAATGTTGTGTTTCCCAATTACGCAATGACATTGACAATATGAAAATGTAAAATTTAAAACTAACATGCCAATAAGCATAAAAATCAAAATTTTAATTGAGGAAAAAAAAAAGGAAAGATATACAGAGGAAGGGGTAATAAGAATAAATCGCATATTTGTTAGTCTCAAATCAAGCAGCGGAAAATGAAAATCGGAGAGGAGAGTTAAAAAATACCCAAAAAATAGTAACGGAGGAGGAGAACTTATTTCTTCATCAACAAAAATAAAACTGAAGTGTGATGTGAGTGAGTAAAAAAGGAAGAAAAGATGCAATTTATAACACATTAAACAAATAGGGGTTACATATTCCAAAAGTCACAACCCAATATGCAATTTATAACAAATTAAATAATTGGAGGTTATGAATTTGAAAAGTCACAATGAATGAAGAGGTGTGAGTTATGAATATAAATTTTTTAAATTAAGACAAATGGTTAAAATGAAAGGAAAAAGTCAAAAAAATGAGAAAAAAGATAAATAGGATTCCTAAAATATAAGAAATGCCACGTCATCTTGCCAAATTTCTCCTTTATATATATATATATAGATTATCCAACAAAAAGTTTGAATGAAAAGATTTTTATCTATTTGGTCAAGTTTTTAAGAGCAACTACTTAAGGTGTTTGACCGAATTTCTTGAAAATAACAAACAGAGTGTGAGCATTTTAGGACGGAAAATCTGCAGCTTCTCCGTGAAAGCATAAAGCAAATATAAAATAATTTTTTTCAGAACAAAAATGTGGCCTACAAAAAAAGAAATTAATTTTACTAAACTATTCTTTCTTACTGTTACTCAGATGTAAAATGAATAGTTGACGTTTTCCTAATTTGACACTAAAAATTTGTTTAAAAAGGTTTATCTGACACAATTTTTGAGTTGTTTAACCACACAAATCGTTACTCTTCCAACCTAGTATTGAAAGTCCATTAGAAAAAATAGAAAGTCATTTTATCATAGGTAAATAAATTTTTGACTAGACGTGCACTCACTTTTCCCACAGTTAATAAAGGCCGTTTGACCATAAAACTTTTTACTTTTTGGGGGAAACTCTTCACCTTTTTTCAAATTTCACTTGAAAAGCCAGATCACTTGAAATTATGGCTTTTTAGACTTTCACGGTATGTTTTTGGAGTAATTTTTTTTTTCACTGTCACAAAAATAATATTGATCTATCATCTGTTTAAAATTTCAGTACCATATAGTTAACTACATTATTCTATTGTAATAGTCTAAACTCCAATTCACTCCGAGCTTCCCCCAATAGTTGCAGCAATCAAATGGTTAAGTGGTAGTTTTTGCGATAGCTCACATATAACTCGTCTCCCATTTTACCTCTATTTGGTTTGACATAGAAAATTCCATCAAACATTTTTCACCAACTGACATTCTGGTTAATAATAAATAAAATATTAAAAAATGTTGGGACAAACACAAAACTAGCCGATTGGCCGTAACTAATTGCATTCGCTAGCCAAAAAGTATAAAATATGTATGTTATATTTATAGAATACACACACACACACACACACACACATATATATATATATATTATTATATATATATTATTTTGTAGAGCGGCTAAAAACATATATTTCTCAAAATTATTCACGGTGGCTAAAAACATAACTATTGAAAAGTACTGCACATTTCGACAGTAGCAGTTTATGTTTGGACAATTCATTTGAGAAGTACTTTTTGCAATATTTGATAAGCAAATTGTATTTGGCCAATCTTTTTAAAAGTATTTTTGAGTGTCAAATTACGAAATAAAAATAGTAAATAACATGTTAACAATTATTATCATTTAAAAGAGAGAAATGAATTTGAATATTTATTATAAAAAAATCAATTATTTTTTATTTTTTAAATAATCAAAATATAAAATATAACGTAAAAATATATACTTAAAGATTTTGATCAATACAAAACTAAATAGTCATCCAAAGTAATAATTCATATAATCAAGTAGAAGACACAACCAAAACAAGGCATATAGCAATCTAGAAGCTACCCCGAACATGAATACCCATGGCACATGTATATACGCTCGTCACCTCATATAAACATCACCCATGTATGTAGCAAATAATATCAATTATTAGAAAAAAATTTCTCAACCAAAGATAGGCAAGACACTTACGTCAATGCGCCCAAATCAAACCTATAAAATAGCCTTTCCTATAAAAATCACCTATGTCTAGTCCAAATCTAGCCAAAAATAACTCAATCATATCAAATAACGCTATAGGAATCAATTCCAATTAATAAAGTTGTAATCTTTAGCCAATTTCTAAAAGGTCAACAAATGTCGACCCTAGGCCCATACAGTCAAAACCCGAGTCAAGAGGTAGATCTTGACTACCCATAACCCCACGAATCCAAATATGTGATTGATTTATAAAATCGAATCCAAATCGACTCTCAAATCTTAAATTTTTATTTTTCAAAACATAGTCAAAATTCCCAAAAAGTTCTTTCAAATTCCATGATTTTGGTGTAAATAACCATGAAAAATCAAGATATAATATCAAAATTAACTAAAATCACTTACATAATAGCTATGTGTGAAAATCTCCTTCAAAAAACGCATGTCACCAAGTCTAGGGATCAAAATGTGATAAAATAAGTCTAAGTCCCGAAATATCTAGCTAATAACAAGCTGCAAATGTCGCATTTGCGATCAAAGGCTGGCGAATGCGACAAAAATGCTCGTAAATGTGATGCAACCAAAGTTGCCGGTCACAAAAGTGACTCCCACTTCGCAGAAGCGAAAAATCCAGTAGTTGCAAATGCGACTAAATCCTTGCAAAAGCGAGGCCCCCAGCATGCCAGTCACAGAAGTCCAGAGTTGTAATTGCGACTCTTACCCTCGCAAATGCAAGGTCCCCAGTCCCACCATGTCTCAAAAGTGACAACGTCCTCACAAATGTGATGGTCGCAAATGCGACCAGCACCTCGCAAATACGAGAACAGCAGTACCAGCAATCTCAGCCTAGATAAAACCATTCGAAACTCACCCGAACCCCTCGGGACCCCGTCCAAACATACCAACAAGTCTCACAACATAACACATACCTGCTCGAAGCCTCAAACCCCACAAAATAACATCAAACCCACGAATCGCACCTCAATTCAAGCTTAATGAACTAATCCAAATTTTCGAATTCTAAACTTACGCTGAACACATTTAAACAACCCGGAATGACCCTAGATTCTACACACAAGTCATAAATCACCATACGAATTTATTCTAAGGTTCGAAATCCCAAACGGACATCGATAACTATAAAGTCAGCTATTGGTCAAACCTATCAACTCTCCAAATCTTCAAACATTCAACTTTCGACAATTAGCCTCAAAATCATCTAGGAACATCGGAACTGGATTCCGGTATATGCCCAAGTCTAAAATCACCACTCGGGCCTAAC